ACTTATTATTATTTAAAATTTATTATTGATAAAACTATAAAAAATATATTCTAAAATTCTTCAATCTAGTAGTTTTAAAATATATATTTTATAAAATTTATTTTTTAAATGTTTAAAATAATTGTGGTCAAAATTTTAAAAAATTAACCATTAAAAACTCAACAAAGGATAATTTTATTGGGACAGAGGTAACATATTTTATTGCAACACTTTATGTATCGTTTCCTGAAAAATATCTAGTGTATCTTTAATTATATTTTTATGTATACCATTAATTTTATGGGTAAAATACATTAAATTGTTCCCCAACTACATGCTATTACTTTGTTGTGTACCCAACTATTAAAAGTAATAAAATGGTCCTTTCACTATGGCATATTACTTTATTGAGACCTTCGATTATTAAAAGTTACAAAATGGTCATCCGACTATTCATATGTTCTAAACTTATCATTTTTCAATAAAAAGTTAACAATCGTCTGAGCTGGATGTTAATTTGTTGATTAGGATATGATAAAATCTAATCCCATAACCGTTTGAATTCTGTAGTCATTTGAGATTCTAGTATAAGATTTAATCATATATTAGTCAAAAGGTTTGTGTTCAGCTCAGACAACCGCCATTTTCTTTAATAAAAAAGGACCATTTTGAAACATTTGAATAGTCGAGTGATCATTTTATAACTTTTAATAGTTGAGATACTTAACAAAACAATAACCTATAATCAAAGGATCATTTTGTAACTTAATAGTTAGGAGAATTAAGAAAGTAACATTGTATAGTCGAGAGATCATTTACTTAATTTACTCTAATTTTATCTTAAATTATTATTTAGATTCCCCCCTGATAATGATGTAAATACAAAAAATTAATAAAAAATTATAATATAAATGGTTAAATTAGTTATCATGCATGATTAAATTATTAAAATGCTATAATTTGTTGCAACAATATGTAACTTTTCTCTAAAATATAATTTGTGTGTGTTTAGTAAAATTGTTACTTTTCTCTAAAAATATAATTTGTGTTTGTTTAGTAAAATTGTTACTTTTCTCTGAAATGTTTTTATAATTTTTATATGTTTAGTAAAAATTTTATGTATCATACTTGTTGACACTCGTTTTTATCCTGATTATAATCGTTTTTTATATTTTTTTATTAACAGTACTAATATTTTTTATTATTTTGTTTTAGTTTAAAGATCCAATTTCAATTGAAGCCCAACAGTAGGCCCAAAAAATACATACCCAAACTAAACCAGGCCCAAAAAAATCAAACCAACCCAAATTCCTTAACCAAACCCTAACCCTAACATCAACTTAACCCTAACCCCTATTTTGTAGCTGCCGCCAAAACCTATCGCTGCCGCCACTGTCCACCGTCGAATAGCCGAGACGAGAAGCCACGCCGTCGGTCACCTCAGCCAGACCGAATCTCCTGTTTCACCAAATAAAAAAAATCAATAAAAAATAGTAAACAATCGACCTAAAAAATTCGAGATCCCCATTCCCCTACCGACCAACCCTAACCATAGCCACTCATGCCACCAACAAGCCCCATTTAATACATGCAATCAACCATCATTTCGAAGGAGAATAACAAACAAAAAGGAAGGGGAGCAGATTTAGAACATGATTCGATGAAGAAAAAAGGAAAAGGAAACCTATTGAGGAGAGAATCGGGAAAGGGAGAGAAATTAGTTCGAAAAAAAACTAAAAAACAAAGGGGAGAAAGGTCAAGTTTACCATTGGGTGAAGAAGCAAGGTAGAGGGGCGCCATTGGTCCTTTTCCGGCGCCGTTTAGAGTGGCCGGATAGATCTTTGTTCTCTCTCTGTTGAAAGAAATAAGATAGGGGAGAGGAAAAACAGAAATGGCGAGGGAGAGGGTGAAAGAAATGAGGCTAGGGCATCCATGCTTTGTTCTTGTGAGTTAACTATTGTAAAGATCCCTCTTATTTCAATATTAATGTATTTTACTCCTTAAATTGAGGCTTTATAGTTTTCGATTTTGCCTTATTATTTTGTCCGTGTTTCATTTCAGACCTAAATATCATTTTGGGTTTATTTTCATTTCCAGTTTCTGTGTTGTATGATATTTGCATTTTGCCATTAACTTTGTTATGTTTTCTTATTTTGCCTTTAAAGTTTCTGTTTTTACTATTTAATCAATCATTTGCATAGTATATTAAATTTTATATTATTTACACTTTAATCCATGTTTTAGCCATGTTTACATTTTTGTCTATTTATTTAATGTAACTTGCATTCTGGTCTGTAACATTTTTGTTTGCATTATGGTCCATCGATATCTATCACACGTCCATTCTCATTCGCATATGTGCTTTACCTTCATGATTTTTGTCAACATGTATACGAATGTGCATTACACGTTTATTTCTCAAGCATCATATAGTGCATTATATATAATGTTGTTGTGTATACTTATAATTCATTAAAGTTTGTATGTTGTATATTCTTCATTGTTTAATAATTAAATATTTGTTTGTATATATATATATATATATATATGCACATATACACTTTTGTATCATACTTGTATAGCAGTTAACATATTTTATTAGACTCAATTGTGAATATTAATAAATATTATTTTGTACGAATAATTTATGGAGATGCGCCTTAACTGACAAAGAGTGTGTCCAGGAGAACTATTTGTACAAAATTGTATGGTTTTCCTCGATTCGAATCAAATAATTGGATTAACGGTAATACTCTTTTTATTTCATAACGGTTGCAAAGTGACGTCATAAGGAATAAGAAAGTAACCTCCAATGGTTGTTTAATTAAATTCACCAAGAAAAGACTGTTAGATTGGGTCTAATATCTCGTCTCGATGTCTTTAAATAATTATACATCCTTATTCTATCTAAAGGTTGGTAGCATAATTAATTTATTATATTTATTTCATTGTATACATTAGAAATAGATGTTAATTTGCATGTGTTTAAAAGGGGTCGTAAATTAAATTACATTCGAATTTATAAGTTTTATTACAAGGACAACTAATTAATTAATTAGGTATCGATTTAGGGTGCTTTGGGAATGCTAATCCTTCCCCACACGTAATCGGCTCCTGAACTCAAATTTTTGGTAATGTATACCGTAAAATTGTCTTTTTAATTAAAATTAATATTTTATTAAAATGCCAAATATGTGTTTGGGTTCCAAATCATACCCTAATCAAAGATTAGTGACAACTCCACGAATCGATTTTATTTGTTTTTAGATTCGAGTCCCAAATTATTCGAGGTAAATGTTTTTACCATAAATTAATGATGTAACTATATAGTTGTTTAATAAAATTAATATAATGTAAATGATTAAATTAATTTATAGAGTAAATTATGTATTTATTCATCTAATTATTCTTGTTTCATTTTGGTCACCTAATTTTTTTTAAATCATACCTAAAGTACATTTTGATTTTATTTTAATCACTGGTAGTTAAAAAATTAACGGTGACATTGACATATCACCGTAAGGTTATAGCTTGACACATAATAAAAATATAACATTAAGTTTAATTTTAAAAAAAATTAAATTACTAAAATGAAGAAAAATATTTGGTTATTAAATACGTAGTTTACCCAAGTTTTTAAGGCCCAATAAAAGTAAACAAATAAGCTTTGCATCTAATGAACATTTATGTTTTAAAAAAGCTTAAGTATAAAACAAATGTTCAATCTATATCTATTTTTCAGTTTAGTGTCTATCTTTTATTTTGTTCTATTTTCATGTCTAACATTTCATTCCGTTACTTAAAATGAATAAAGCCGTGACAGATCATTAAGTTTGACCGTTAACACATTAAAAATATTGAATGATTTATGAAAATATGAAATTAATTAAAATGAATCTCTTTGGCAGGGAGTGATGTGGTATCATCTCAATCCTTTGCTTCTTCATTTCCATTCTGAATCTCTTAGTTTCATGCATTGTTTCCATCTTTTGCCTTTCCATCCTCTCAAACCTCTCTGCAGATCTCGAAATGCTTCTCAAACCGTCCCCATTTCTAATCCTCTATCGAAAACTCTTCTGTGTTGAACCCTAAACCATAGTATAAAATAGTGGTTGCAATATCTGTTGCGGTTGCGGTGTCGCGGTTACGGATGCTGCAGACGTTACGTAACGTGTTGCGGCTGTCGTATGCGTGATTTTTTAATGTGTTGAGGTTGTCGCGGGTGGCTGCGTTCCATTAATATTACGTCGCGGTGACCTTCAAAACTATTACGATGAGGTCGTTACACTACGTTGCGGTCGCAATTTAATACCATGCCCCAAACACCGAACCAATGTCTCATTCAACGGCAGCCGCCCAGAGAAATGGTATTCTCTCCAGCGCGACCAACTTAAGGCCGACCAGTAGGTGGAAGTCGCCTTAACCATCGCCACTCGTTGCGGCCACTTCGACCACCCCGCCTCCAAGACCTCCATCCTGTGCAGTTACAAAATGGAAAAATTCCGCCGCCGCTACTGCTCCGAACGTCAGGGCCTCGCTTCGGGCACCACTTGGCCTTACTACGACGCCATGGAATCTCTGGAGTACGGGACTTTTCCTTTCTCGACTAGACCATTGCTTTCTATTGTTCCAACCAGAGGGAAACACTTTTATCCCGATCATAGGCATGAAGCTGGAAATAACTACGGTAACGATGAAAAAGAAGAGGAGGAGAAGGACGATGATGAAGAAGATTACCGGTTAAGTAAAAGCCGCAGTATCAATTACATTCTGCGTCAACCAAGTGTTGTGAACAGGTTCTCGGGGCTGTTAAGCGGTGGGAAGAGGGTGGGGATGGTGACGTGGGAGTTGTGGGAATGGAGGAAGAAGACAAGAGAGTAGGTTTAGTAGTGGAAATAAGGTTTAATTTTAATTAATTTATTATTTTCAGGAAAAAAAATTAATATTAAAAAATTTAATGAATTAATGATTAAACTTAATAGCTTGACCCTTTTAAATTACGGGTATACTTGATCCTTTCAAAAACTTCAAAAGCTCAAACGTAATACCAAAGTCAAAATCACCTGTACTTCTCGGTGATTTTCTCATAGCTCCTATCGTCCCCATCGATGGTGATTTTGTCTCTAATTCTGTTCCCTTTCCTCCTCCTCTTCCTCCTCCTCATCTTCATCGTGCGTCCCCGCCCGATCAACATCCCAATAAAAAATCGACACGTCTTCATTACAGGTGGGTCAAGCGGCATCGGGCTAGCCTTGGCTCACCTGGCCGCTTCCCAGGGAGCTCGAGTCTCGCTCTTAGCTCGATCTCTTAAAAGACTCGAAGAAGCCAAAGAATCGATTCGCCTTTCCTCCGGAGCCGACGTTTCCATATTTTCTGCCGATGTTCGTGATTACGACGCCGTTCAGAAGGCGATTAACGATGCGGGGCCCATCGATGTCCTGGTAGTTAATCAGGGAGTGTTTGTGCCTCGGGAGCTTGAGAAGCAGGGATTGGATGAGGTCAAGTTTATGCTAGATGTGAATCTGATGGGGAGTTTTAATGTCATCAAAGCTGCTTTGCCGTTGATGAAGCAGAGGATGGACCGCTTGCCCGCTTCCATCGCTCTTATTTCTTCCCAAGCTGGTCAGGTGAGTATATCTGAAATCATTGAATTACTTTTATTTTTATTTATTTATTTTTCTACTTGGTTTTATAGAAGGTAATAGACTTGTTATATCCACGAGATTTTGTTTCAAGTCTTGTTTTTATATTATTCTACTTGGTTTTGTTGTATATCTGACACCACCATCTAAGAGTCGCTACAAATATCCCTTATTCAAAGACTTAGAAGGGATTCGACCTTCTACAATCTCCACACAATCTTAATCCTCTTTCTTATGACCAACTCTCTCTTACATAGACACACCGGCCAACAATAGTTCTTTTTTTTTTCCTAATTGAACTTCGTTCGATGGATGTTTAGGTGGGAATTTATGGGTACACAGCATACTCGGCCAGTAAATTTGGGCTTCGAGGACTAGCAGAGGCATTGCAGCAGGAGGTTATTGGGGATAATATCCATGTCTCTGTTGTATTCCCACCAGATACTGACACTCCTGGTTTTGAGGAAGGTTTTAGACCCTTTTCTTTGAACCTTCTACCTTGTTAAATGGCTTTACTTTTCGGTAACCTGTATTTAATATTAATTAGCCGGTTGCATAGTATTTTGGATGCTGTCCAATGAGAAATTTTATGACCTATTAAATTTTTTCTTGTCTTTTACAATGAGGGGATTTGCAATTTTCTCTGTGGTTTTTGTTTTTCAACTATAATATAATTGGGGGGCTTTCGTGGTGTGCTACCCATGTGTACTTCGATGCTTACAAGTGTCTAGCTGCATTATGGAATAGAGTTGATTTGGGGCTTATAGAAAATTCAACAAATCCTCTTGACTTTCACAAGTTTGAAGGTCAATGAAAGCAGATCTTGAGGTTGAGTTGGAACTCCTAATCCGATTGGTAGGAGATTCTGCTCTGTTGTGCTAAGTCATGAGAATTTATTGGTTGTTACATTTTTGTTTGGGATATGGTGTAGGTAGGTGTGGTTGCTTGAGGTGTTGCTTCATGGGCTTATGCAATGTTCCCCATTTTGGTATTTGTTTTATAATGGGGTTTCATTAATTTTGTGTATTTTTTAATGTTTTGCGGTGTTTAGGTGTGCTTTAGGTGTTTCTTTTGCTTTAAGATGTTTGTTCTTGTAACCTCTTTTGTGATTTTGTTATTAACAAATTCAACTTTGGCTGAGCAAAAAAAAGGACATCAGATTGAGTTGAATTATCACGAGTGTGAAGAATTGATGGGATTGATGACTTCTGATGGTATATTGAACATGATTCTGGCGTTCAACCTGAACACAAAGTTAGATGGTAGTTATTGTTAGTGTTTCTCCATTAGTTCCGATTCCAATGCAATCATAACGGTTTGTTTTCCCAAAAGGAAGCATAAGCTGGAAATATATTTGAAATGGGAATCATTGACAAACTAAAGAACCTCTGTTGTGTTTCTCGAAATTACATTTAAGTATGAACCGACATTTTTTGCAGAAATTAAAGTTAGGCCAGAGCTCACAAAAATACTAGCAGGCTCCTCTCGTTCAATGAAAGCTGATGAAGTTGCCAAGACAGCTTTAGCGGGCATCGAATCTGGAAGTTTCATGGTCCCTTGCAACTTTGATGGGCACATGCTGGCTATAGCTACTGCTGGTTTATCCCCCCAAAGATCTTTCTTGATGGCATTCACTGAGGTGATTTTTTCTGGTGTATTACGTCTTGTAGCATTATTTCTCCAATGGAACTGGTATCGGTGCATAGAACATTGGCATGCAAAGAAAAAAGGTAAGTTTGCAGTAAAAGAATCATTTATTCATACACCAGAAGAAAAGATATTTGTGCCTATTTTATTGAACCCAGTTTTGTCTATTTTTTTTTAAGTTGTTTTTCGGAGAATCTTATGTCTAATGGTCAAGAATCTGATATGTGGTTATCTTTAAGCAATATCATTTATTTATAAGTAAAAGTATTTAGATTGCCCTCCTTAGGAATCATGGTTATGAGAATATTGTTTTAGATTCTTATCTGTCATTACTGAAGTTAAAATTTTCCATTGCCAGTGCCTTCAATAATTAGGATATGCCCTAAAGAGATTTTCTTGGAGTTTAATATGGTAGATAGTTTTATATTCACATTGAAATCTTTGCCTATAAGTAAAAATGTAATTTTGAATCCATCAAGTGGCCTCAGTGGTATAAAGAAAAGTTGTTCTTCCACGAGGTCTTGGGTTCGAGCAGCTACATTTGTATTGTCAATAGGTTAAAAAAATTCGAACATATATTACTTTGTAATCACTCAGACTATTAAAAAAATGATAATTCTCTCTTTCTAAATTACGAGGACCAAAAATCTAGTGTCTTGGCACTACTCATGTATAGAAGGTAAATACCATTATTATTCATTATAAGAATTACAAATACTGAAGTTACCATGTTCAATTTATGAAGCAAAATTGTCTTTCAATATGTCAAAAGATTTTTGGAATTACTTTTTTCTTTTAGACATAATATGGCAATATCACCATTTTTTTATTTACTCCTTTTGTGCATGATTATCACACCTCTTGATTTCAGAGACATAGGCCTCCGGCGCTCAAGATGGATCATCATTACCTGTTCCAGTTCTGTTGCTTAATGCTAGTAAGATCTCATGGATCTTACCTCTTCCAAATGTTACCTCTTCTTTTTCTTTCCAACTTTCGATTCATGTTTTGCTAGAAGTAGACAAAGCGAATAACTAGAGCCGGATTGCATAGGAAAGTTTTAGTTTTGTATTGTTAGAACTTGCTGGTTGAATCTTTTGATGTGAATCATGAAATTCGGGTTTTAATACAGACAAGAACTGCCCATCTGCTCTTTATTTGATTTTTTTTTATTATTGTAGCATCCATAGTAATTCTTGGCAGAGATGAAATTTAAAATGGGAAAAGTAAGATCCACATATTCTTTTAGATTTTCAGCAATTCATTATTGAAGTTATATTTTTCCATTTCCAATGCCTTCATTAAATCATTCAGCAGCGTCAACCGCTATCGGACACTCAAAGGGAGGGGATTTTAAATATATGGTAGACTATTTGAATAGTCAGTTATAGGGTAGATCCTATCCAGATCACATAACTAAAAAGTTGGTAAACTACATGTTTAGTAAAAGTATAACTTTTATTCCGTTTTGATAATTAAACTATTATTCTTCTAAGGGTAAATTATACGTTTGACAATTGAACTTTGTTCTCTCTCTTATTGCATTCGTTGAATATCAAATTTTTCAATTTATTTTTTGAATTTATAGATTGATTTTTTTATCATTCTGCGGTTAATCTTGTAACGACTTTATGACATGGATGACTTAAATGATTTTTTAATCGGAAAAAATGTATCTCTTTAAAAATTCTTAAATTTTTCACATGATAACTTTAATTCTATGCATTTTCTTCCCCAAAGAAGTTGTAACCAGGCTCGCAAAACACACCTCCAGCACCATGATCCTATCGTTTTTTTTTCTTTTCAAATTCATCCTCACATGGTACGTTATTTTTCTCCCTCCTTTAACTTGAATGGGATTTAAACTCGAATGATGATCCAAACTCTATGACGAGGAAGATAAGGTTGCGTTGTCACATGTTAAAGTTTTAACTCGAATTCCTGGTGGCACACTTTAATTGGGAAAGTAATAAAACTATTTGATTAAAAGTAGAACACTTTATTAAAGTTGTTTATTATAAAGTAGCATTTTACTTTATTCAATTTCCTTTATAATCAAGTATCTATCCATATAAATAGATACTAAGGATTAGTGTTAGAGATTAGGTTGTCCACGATTACCCCTATTGTATTCTTCTTTTATTGACATTAGTGATTTTTCTCCTCTTCTGCATGTGGTTTTTCATGAAAGGGTATTACACATAAAATCTTGGTGTCTATTTTAGTGGGTGATCATTATGCACGTCATCATCAATATAACAAACTGTTATCAGAGCATTCAAGTTGTTTGACTCAATCACGATAATGACATCTTCAAAATATGAGAAACCGTGGATTGCAAAACCAGATTCAAATTGTGGAAGGTAGAGGGTTCAACAATTATAGATGAACTAATATTTTTCCTTCGTGGTAAAGAGGGTTGAACAAAACAACTGTGGGCATAACAATTTTGGAAGAAGAAAAGTGTTCCATTCGTGGGCATAACGAATTTGAGAAGAAAAAGAGAATTCAGTTCTATGGGAATAACAAATTCAAGAAGAAGAAAATTTAGTTCCATAAGCATAACAAAAAAGATTGAATTGTCATTGATGATCGGGAGGTGTTGTGCGTGATATTGCTTGTAGTGAACAAGTTGTGAGTAAAATTAACACTTATGATTTCCTTACCGATGTGAAGACTAAATCCATGTTTCGGTAAGCTTTGGATTCAGCTGTCAATCATTGTTGAAGAATACCCCTCTAAGGAGTTTTGCGGAAGAAGTGGATAATATGTTCTCAAGGTGGAGAACTTGTTTGCTGAAGTGAAGAATTGCTTTTGTTGAGTTTGGATGCCTCATCGAATTTGGGTGTTTTATCTCAAATCCTTCGCACTTTCAGAATTCATGTCAAAGTGAAGATTTGTTAAAGTTTAGCTCGAATTCAAAGTGACACAATTTAATTGAGAAAATAATAAACCTTGTTTGATTAGAAGTAGAGAACTATATTAAAGGAGAAAACTTTATTAGAGTAAATAGCTTTTTATAAAGTATTTTTTTACTTTATTTAGTCTCCTTTATAATCAAGTATCTATTCATATAAATGTATACTAATGATTAGTGTTAAAGATTATGTTGTCCACGATTACTCCATTTGTATTTTTCTTCTATTAACATTAGTGAATTTTCTCATCTTCTTCTCGTGGTTTTTCCCGGAAGGGTTTTCCATGTAAAATCTTGGTGTCTATTTTAGTAGGTGATCATTATGCATGTTGTTTTCATATAACATCAACCATTGCCACCTTTGTTCTCTTGTCCAATGATCTAATTATCTAACACGGGCATCACTTAAACATCCATTATCACCCTTCAACCAACATAGACAACCATCACAACTTAACCCTCCACCAACATGCCCCATTTCCTCTCATTCTCAACATTGTAAAACATTTGGAAGCCATACATTACCAATACACCTCTAAAGATTAAAAAATGAAAAAAAAATAAAGAAGACTCAAAACAAAGCTTTAACCCCAAACACCCTAAACCAAATAGAACAAGCGTGAAACACCCAACAAGAAAAACTCATCCCTTCCATCATCCTTAAAAAAGAAGACCTCCCAAAAATACCCATTCAAAACACTCCAAATTATGTAAAGGAACACAATTTACCAAAAAAAAAATACTAAGATAAAACCCCAAAAAACTATCTTTAAATTTGAGAGAGCATCGAAGGTAGAATAAAACAAAGGATAAAACAAAACAAAAATAGTAGTGAAAAACAAATGTACAAAAATTAAATAGTGGTCTCCTTTTCTAGCTTATGCATTTGAGAGGGAGTTCATGTCAAGAATCAAGGTAACAAATCAAAGGAATGAAGCTTTGATTCAAAGTCAATCAAAATCGTTGAGGGCATTGAAAAATCAAGTGGGAAAGTTGGCAACTGCTACGAGTAATAGGCAACAAGGAACACTACCTAGTGACACCGAGAATTTAAAGTCACATGGGAAAGCCCATTGTAATGAGTATTGTAAAACAATTATTACAATAAATGGTCTTCACGTTGGGAAGTATGCTGAGGAGCCTAAGAAGAGAGATGATCATGAAAAGCTTGGATAGTAAGATAAGGACAAGAAAACAGAAGTAGACCTTGAGTCACCAGTTGTGGAAGTTACAATAAGGGAGACAAGAGAGTGTTGTAATTATTAACCATTGCCAACAATAACTCCAACAACACTTCCACATATGGTAACTTCAATGCCAAGACAACCGAATCCAAGACCTCCACCACCATTTCTCTAAAGATTTAAGAAGACCAAAGAGGACCGACAGTTCAAAAACATTCATTGATGTACTTAGGCAATTGATAACAAAAAATCCATTGAAATTGTTGTATTCACCGAGGGATGTAGTGCTATGGCAACAAGTCGATTACACCTAAACTCAAAGATCTAGGGAGTTTCACTATCTTTGTATTATGCTGATCAATTTGTAGGTAAATCATTATATGATGTAGGTTCTAGCAATAACCTGATGCCATTGTCAATTTTAAAAAAAACTAGAAGTGGATAAGCTAGACCCACCACTGTGACTTTGCAACTTGTTCACCGATCCACCGTATATTCTAGTGGAATTGTTGAAAACATGCTAGTTAGAGTGGACAAATTCATTTTTCTCACCTATTTCATCATATTAGATTACGAAGATGACAAGGATGTCTCAATCATACTTGGATGACCCTTCCTTACCATTGGTCGAGCTTTAATAGATGTTGAAAAGGGAGAACTTACTGTGAGCTTAAATGATGAACACATTACTTTCAATGTTTTGAATAATGTTTCATTTATTTGGCAATTGTGAATGCTATTCAATTGATGCTATTGATGTTTTTGTGCAGGAGTAATGGGATGAATGCCTAAACATGAATGTTGTTGCTAGCGATGTTGTGACAATAGAGGAGCTAGCTGAGAATGAGGAAGTTGAAGGGAATTAATAGCACTTTGATTCATTGGAACTCCCCAACTGACATATTCAACCTCCTAAACCCTCAATTAAAGAACCACCCACACTTGAATTGAAGCCTTTGCCCATGTATCTTAAGTACACCTTTCTTGGAACTAATAAGACTTTTCATGTTATTATTGTAGCAAAACTCGAGGCATCACAAGAAGACAAGTTAATTGTTGTTCTAAACCAACATGAGCAGGTAATTACATGGAGCATTATTGATATCAAAGGAATTAGTCCATCCTTTTGTATGCACAAAATATTGTTGGAGGACCCCAACAACAGTTATATTGAGCAACAAAAAAGGCTGAATCTGATCATGAAGGAAATGGTTAAAAATCATAAAATGGTTAGATGTTGGGATCATATATCCCATTTTTGACATCAATTAGGTAAGCTCTATGCAATGTGTTCCAATGATGGGTGATATTACCATGGTCTCCAATAGAAGAATGAGTTAGTGCCAACACGCACCACTACTGACTGGAGAATCTGTATGGATTACAGGATGCTAAAATCCATAAGGAAGAATCACTTCTGTTGTTGTTCATTGATAAAATGCTAGATTAGCTTGCTTATGGGTGTAGTAGATATAATCAAATAGATATAGCTCCTAAAGACCAAGAAAAGACTACATTCACTTGCCCATATGGTACCTTTTCTTTTTGACGAATGTTATTCGGTTTATGCAATGCTTCAACAACATTCTAGCGATGCATGATGGTGATATTCTCCGATGTTATTGAAGACTACTTGGAAGTGTTTATGACAACTTCTCTATTTTTGGACAGGATTTTGTTAATGCCTTGTTAATTTGGTCGCTGTGTTGGAACGATGTGAAGAGACCAATTTGGTTATAAATTGGGAAAAAATGTCATTTCATGATAATCGATGGAATAGTGCTAGGGCATCACATTTCTCATCGCGACATTGAAGTAGACAAAGTTAAGGTAGAAGTTATTGATTGCCACCCCCACTAATGTGAAATCAGTAAGGAGTTTTCATGGCCATGCCAGATTTGTGGTGTTTAGAATAACCGATTGAAGATCAATAATATATCGTTGGAAAAGATGCACTACAAGAATAAAAGTTTTTAATGACAAATTAGTAGTGAGTGAATTAAGTAGAAGCCGAGATGGTTTTGTGGAAGCTTGTAATTCAAACT